AGTCGGTAACGACTGAGCGCAGATAAAAAACAACAACAACTAATGTATCATCTGTTGCTGTATTGTTCTTTATGGTAGCTGGGTCACACATGAAACTATGTTGTTTCCATATACATTTAAATGGCAACAGAGTGCTGCAAAATCCATGCTTTCCAATCTGCACATTACTTTGAAAGATGCAAATATGGTCAGTTCACTAGCAAATACAAACTTGGAAAAGATTTGCTGTATATCCAAAACCAATAACCAAGACGAGAAGAGAAGAGAAGAGAGAATAAACAAAGATACAAAGAACTTCATCCAAATGAACATATTCAGGGAAATAATGTGTAATGGCAAATAACAACATTGCATAATCAAATATTATGTGGTCTTTTATATATCAGAATATAGTAGTACAAAAGGCAGGTGATAAAACACTGGAAGTACAACTGCTTTTAAACATGTGCAGCATGGGAACTTATGGGGGCGGTATGGCGAACTAGCATGTCTCTGAATAAGCGGAGATGATGGTGGCGGCAGAAACCAAAGAACCAGCAAGTAGACCGGTCCTATGAAACCTTTCCAGATAAGGAGAGGATGGGAGATTACCTACATGTGCTCCAGACAGCTGCTCTTTGCGAAAAGACCACATGGCAGTGGTCTCCCATGGGTTTGAGCACCAGTAGATGAGGGGAAGCCACCATGCTCTCAACTGTGGCAAAGCCTTTTAAAGCAGGGTTCCTCAACCTTGGCAACTTTAAAACGGGTGGACTTCAACTTCAACTCCCAGAATTCCCCAGCCAGTTCCCAAGGTTGAAGAACCCTGTTTTAAAGGACATTGGGTTTACTAATCTCACTTTCTAATCACTTTTGGAAATTACCTATTTAACTATCTTAAAGCTATTAGAGATCTTCGAAACAACAAGTCTGAAAAGCCACCTGGTGTGTTTACCTTCATTCCTGAATTTTAAAAAAATTAACCATAAGCTTAAGAATTTAAATAATTTGAAATAAAAAGCAAAAAGCAAAATAGGACTCAATTTACCTTCTCTCATGTGTTGCTCCTGAGCCAGATTTTCCCAATTTTGTGCGTGTCTCTTTCATTTTTCTTACCTAGATTCATTACTTTTCTCTGTGTTAAATTTCTATTTCTTTCCACCCACTGTTCTAGCCTAAGTCTTTTTTATTTTTTCCCCATTCCTCCCAGGTATTAGCCACTCCTCCTAGCTTTGTATTGTCTGTAAATTTGGCAAGTGTTTCTTCAACTCCCTCTATATCATTTATAAAAATGCTGAAAAGCACCAGGCCCAGGACGGAGCTCTGTGGCACCCCACTCCAGATGTCTTTCCAGGTAGAATTGATACCATTTATAACTACTCTTTGAGTATGATCCTTGAGTCAATTGTGGACTACTAGCGGTTGAGTTGTCAAACCCATATTTGATAATTTGGTTAATAAGGAGATGAGAGACTTTGTAAAAAGCCTTGCTAAAGTCAAGATATCCTACATTGATGGTATTTCC